TGACCTCTGCTCACTCGTGACCTGGAATGGAGGAGGGCCCTTCCTCCGGCTCATTGCACCCCCTCGCTTCCGGGATCTGTGAGTAACAATACATCTCGTGACTCTAGTTCCCTTGTGTGGGTGCATTGAAACAGCGCCTTCCACCAAAACCCCCAAGGGGTTCCCCTCCACAAAGCGGGAGCTTGCCTGCTGTGCGAGCTACCTGTGGGCCACGTGGGGGTGGCTTGTGCCCCCTCCTCATCGAATCCTAAATTACACACAGGCAGACCTGGCTTTACTGCGCTCTGCAGACACTGCATTCTTTACAGATTGAAGGTTTGAGGCAACCCTGCGTCGAGCAAGTCAATCTGCGCCATTTTTCCAACAGCATTTGTTACTTCGTGTCTCAGTGTCACATTGTGGTAATTCTCACAATGTTTCAAGCTTTTTCATTATTATTCTATTTGTTATGGTGATCTGTGGTCAGTGGTCTTGGATGTTACCATTGTAATTGTTTTGGGGGTGCCACGCACCGCGCCCATCTAAGACGGCAATCTTAATCGGTAAATGTTGTCTGCGTTCCGACAGCTCCACTGACCGGCTGTTCCGCCGTCTCTCTCCCTCTCCACGGGCCTCCCTCTTCCCTGAGACACAACAATATTGAAATTAGGCCAATTAATAACCCTACAATGGCCTCTAAGTGTTTGAGTGAAAACAAGGGTCTCATGTCTCTCACTACAAATCAAAAGCTAGAAACGATGAAGGCAGTAGAAAGCCGAGATAGGCCCAAAACTAGGCCTCTTGCGCCAAACAGTTACCCAAGTTGTGAGTGCAAAGCAGAAGTTCTTGAAGGAAATTAAAAGTGCTACTCCAGTGAACACGTTAATGATAAGAAAGTGAAACAGCTTTATTGCTGATATGAAGAAAGTCGTAGTGGTCTGAATAGAAGATCAAAGCAGCCACAACATTCCCTTAAGCCAAAGCATAATCCAGAGCAAGGCCCTGACTCTCTTCAATTCTGTGAAGGCTGAGAGAGGTGAGGAAGCTGCAGAAGAAAAGTCTGGGGCCAGCAGAGGTTGGTTCACGAGGTTTAAGGAAAGACGCCGTCTCCATAACATAAAAGTGCAGGGTGAAGCAGCAAGTGCTGATGTAGAGGCTGCAGCAAGTTCTGCAGAAGATCTAGCCGGGATAATTAGTGAAGGTGGCTACACTAGACAACAGACTTTCAGTGTAGATGAAACAGCCTTCTATTGGAAGGAGATACCATCTAGGACTTTCATAGCTGGAGAGGAGAAGTCAATGCCTGGCTTCAAAGCTTCAAAGGACAGGCTGACTGTCTTGTTAAGGAGTAATGCAGCTGGTGACTTTAAGTAGAAGCCAGAGCTCATTTACCATTCTGAAAATTCTAGAACCCTTGAGAATTATGCTAAATCTACTCATCCTGTGCTGTACAAATGGAACAACAAAGCCTGAATGCCAGCACTTCTGTTTACAACATGGTTTACGAAATTTTTTTAAGCCCACTGTTGAGACCTACTGCTCAGAAGAAAAGATTCCTTTCAAAATACGACTGCTCATTGACAATGCACCAGGTCACCCAAGAGCTCTGATGGAGATGGACAATGAGATTAATGTTGTTTTCACGCCTTCTAACACAACATCCATCCTGTAGCCGGTGGGATCAAGGAGTAATTTCGACTTTCAAGTCTTAGTATTTAAGAAATACATTTCAGAAGGCTATAGCTGCCATAAAGGGTGATACCCCTGAGAGATTTGGGCAAAGCAAACTAAAAACCTCTGAATAGGATTTACCATTCTAGGTGCCATCCAGAACATTCATGATTCATGGGAAGAGGTCCAAATATCAACATTAACAGGAGTTTGTGTGACTGAACCAATGTGAGTTCACTTCTTGGTGAGTTGAAATCAGAGCCTTCACCAGAAATGGTTGTCTCACAGAGTAAACCTTATTTGCAACAAATAAGGAGACCACAGAGAACCATTTCCAAAGCTGTGGCTCCCTGAGTAAGGGAACGTGGATGCCTTTTGTTTGAGGAGGGAATGAATATTCAAAGGGGAAGTTTCATCCTTCATCTAGAGGTGGGTATAAACTCGCCCCATCTCCTTAGGTGTCTGTGCTGCTTCTGTGCCTAAAAGTGTGCTGTTGCTCCCCACAGCCTGGGAGTTTTACTATGTTAATGAAGCAAAGGTTGCTCTAGGGTTCTTCTTGGTTATTCTGTACGTGCTTCAGTCGTGCAACTTGGTATGGACCAGTTCAAGGCGGTTGGTGTCTGTATCTCCTTCCTGGAACATAGCTGAGACAAACAACGTCAAGGACCTTAGAGACAAGGACGCCTGCACTCCTCAGCAAGACAAGAGACATAGGCCAGAGTACACGGCCTGTGACATTTGGAAGACGTTGATTCCAACCCGCGTGGGTGACTTTGGGGAGTCCAAGACTTCAGTGGAGGAAGCAACTGCAGATGTGGTGGAAATGGCAAGAGAACTAGAATTGCAAGTGGAGCCTGATGATGTGACCGAATGGCTGCAATCTCATCATAAAACTTTCATGGATGAGGAGTTGCTTCTCGTGGATGAGCAAGGAAAGTGGATTTATGAGATGGAATCTACTCCTGGTGAAGACGCCGTGAAGCTTGTTGCGGTGACAATACAGGATTTAGAATATTTCTGAAACTCTGTTGGCAAAGCAGCGGCAGACTTTGAGAGGATTGATTCCGATTCTGGAAGCTGTTCCACTGTGGGGAAAATGCTATCAAACAGCATCACGTGCTACAGGGCAATCGTTTGTGAAAGGAAGAGTCAACGGATGCGGCCAACTGCATTGTGGTCTTATTTAAGAAATCGCCACAGCCACCCAGCCTTCAGCACCCACCACCCTGTCAGTCAGCACCCGTCAAGTCGCAGGGAGACCTTCCACCAGCAGAAAGATTACCACTTGCTGAAGGCTCAGAGGGTGGTTGGCATTTTTTTAGCAATAAAGTATTTTAAAATTGAGGCATATACATTGGGTTTCGTTAGACATAATGCTATTGCACACTTAATAGACTATAGTATCTTGTAAATAGACCCCCGTTTTGTTTGTTTTTTTTTTTTGCAGAGCAAGATTCACCCTGAGATAACGTCTGTTGCCAATCCTCCTCTATTTTTCTGCATATGAGTCACTGCCACAGGACAGCTGGTGAGTGGAGTATGTCTGTGCCTGGGATCTGAACCCGTGAACCCAGGCCGCCAAAGCAGACTGTGCAGAACTTGAACCACTCGGCCTAGGGGCTGGGCCCTAACTACAACTTTCACACGCACTGGGAAACCAAAACTTCATGTGACTCGCTTTATTGTGATATTGGCTTTATTGTGGTGGTCTGGAACAGAACCCGCAGTATCTTCCGAGTTGTGCCTGTGTCCTTAATTCAGTACTCCAGCTCCAGCCTCTCAATGCATGACAGGACAGAGGGAGGCGGCTGAGGAGGCTCTCACCAGAGAATTTCCTCAAGCGTTGTGACCAGGATCCAATAATTTTTATTAATACCTTTCCAAGGAATGAAGCGCATTCCGCCGTGGCGCACAAAGTTGTTCCAACAATATAAAAAATCTGGGATAAAGAGGGGAGAGGGCACTCAGGTCTGGGTCTCAGGAGACCTTTCTCTCCTGACCCTCCCCCCTCATAGTCTTGTCTCCCTGTCAGGTGCCGTCAGTCCTGCCTCAGTTTACCAGGCTGTCCTCCCACATACTCACCCTGGGAGCATTCTAGGTCCCCCCACCGGACCCTAGTCCCGCCCACAGCCCTGCTCCCAGCTCCCTCTGCTCTCACCACTGAAGTACATGATGGCAACCTGGACCCCTGTGCGCTTCAGGGTGCGAAGTCCCTGCTGGATTTCTGGATCCTTGAAGTGGTAGAGGCGGGCTGCGAAGATGCTCAGGTTCACGTTGCTGTGCTTCTTCAGGAACTCAGCCACCTGCTGTGCACACTGGGAGCAGGGGCTCCAGGACATGAACCAGGTGACATGGTAGCGCTCGTCAGGAGACAGCCAGGCGTAGAACCAAGAGAGGAAGCAGAGTTCTACGTGGCAGCTAGAGAGCTGGGAGAGATGGAGAAGGATGGGGACCCTCTTGGCTGACAGAGCAGGCAGGGTGGCAGGGGTGGGTGGAGTGGGGAGCAGGGGCAAGTTGTTCATTGATTTATCCCTTCTTTCCATCTCTCCCCTCCCTTCTTTTGTTGTGTAGTCATCCCTTCCCACATTCAGTGACTCCTCCATTAGTTCCAACATCCATTCTCCCATTCATTCATTCTACAAGCATTCTGAGTGCCTGCTCCGGGCCAGGCCTTCTGGGGTCCAGGCTTATCCCCTGGGTGGTGTCTGCAGGAGAGGGCCCCAGAGCTGGGCTGTCCCATGTGGGAGCCACTAGCCACACGTGTTTCCTGAGCACTTCAAATGTGGCTCCTCTGAATTGAGATGTGTGGCAAAGACACATCTCATTTCAATGACTTAGTATGAACAAGAATGTAAAGTATCTCATGAAGAATTTTTATAATAATTATATGTTGAAATAATATCTTAGATATATTGCCTCACACATTACCAATATGAATTTGATCAGTTTCTCTTACCTTTTGAACACTGGGTACTATAAACAGTTGAATGACACATGTGATTATGTTTCTATGGGATCACACTGCTATAGCGCACCCCATCCCGCCATGGGTCCCTCCCCACACAGGTCCTGAAGAGCCTGCAGTTTCTCCTGGGTGGAGAAGAGGGGGCAGGCGTGGGGTAGGAGATTTCGCAGGAGTGGGCAGTGGTGGGCATGGGGGCCGCGGGGTGGTGGGCTTGATCTTGTAACTGCTTCTGCTGCGGTGGTCAGCCAGGGAGACCTGGGCTGAGAGCTTGGAGCAGGCCGTAGGGCAGGCAGCACCAGGGATATGGCTTCTCCCCCTGGGATCACAGGTCCTGGACACAGAGGAGTCAGGGGTGTGGCTGTGGGAGGACCCGCCAAGCAGAGCAGTTACCAGGGCCAGAGAAAGAGTACATCAGGCAGAACTTTCTAAAGATGCTCTTTCCTCCAAGATTGCTGAGGCCAAGCTGGATGACAAGACTTGTCATCAGCAGACTGTAAACAAGATCTTGGGGGATAAGGCAAATGCCATCGTGTATCAGTTTCCAGGAGCGTCAAGCAGGGACATCATGGGCCAAGGACTTAGGAAAATGTTGTGGGAAGAAGCACACCCCACTGACAGCCCCCCATCTGGTATGTTACTTCTTACAGTCTTTTCCAAATCCTCAACTGCCTTAGCTGCCGCTTGTGGTGGGAGTATCAACTGGGTCATACCTGGTTTACAAAGACGCCCATGTCAACGTGGACAAGTGAGCCATTCACCTCTCTTTCCACTTGGAAGCAGAGGTAGCAGTGGTACCGACCATAGGCGTATTGCAGGTTGTCGAAGTTGAAGTAGAAGGTTTGGGGATCCAACCACTTCATGGGGTTTCTGGGGGCAAAAGAGAGAAACGTGAAGACGGAGGGAGAGTCCTCGCTGGAGCTATTCCCACTGGCGTCTGCTGAACACAGCCCCTGGACCCTCGTCGGCCCTGAGCATTCCCTGCTGCCTTTCCCGGCAGGGAGACTGGGGTGAGGACGGGGAGAGGGGCAGGGACAGCAGGGACCAGTGACCTGTCCCACAGGGGCCGGCTCTGCTCCTCCCAACAGCACACCCCACCCCAGTTTTCCTGCCCACCCATTCCCAACCCAACAGAAAAACAGAACAGACTAATAAAAGCCCCTCCACCCCAAAATAATAGCTTTTAACGTTTCAGTTCAATCCGTTGCTGACTTTTCACCTATGCATTTTTTTTTTTTTAAATATCAGGTTAACACCTAAATTCAGAGTCTCAGGCTACTCTTCTAAGTGCTTGATGTGCCTCAACTCATCCACTCCTCCCGAATCCTGTGGGAGCCGTCCTCATCTGCAGAGGAGGAAGCGGGGCATGGAGAGGAGAGCAGGCTGCCCGGCCACAGGCCAGGAAGAGACGGAGCCGGGCCCCCGTCCAGCCAAGCACGCTTCCAGCTGTCCCATTCGTGCGCTTGGGGGAGTGTGCAGTCTTGATGTGGCTTTCTTGTGTACTTGATTTTAAAATACGAGCATTTCTCCTGATCATTGCGTCTTGTCTCCAGCTCCATGTTAGTGGTTGGGTTATGGG